TTGTCATCATTATCCTGGCTTGAATTTGAATTTGCAGGTGATCTTAGGTACTTCTTATAGGGTCAGACAGGGCTGTCACTCCCTTTTCCACTGAAGCATCACAAGTACCCCGTGAGACGAGCTGAGGAAAGCAGGTTATAGGGTTTCCCCTGACCAACACCAGGGTGTGATGCTGAATCGACTTCACATGTAGAGATTCCCAGAGCCTACGCTGTCTGTAATTCTGTGCGCTGAGCTTGAAAGAGCTACAGTATAGTACTTTGCAGGAGCATGCAGGGAGGTTAGCTGCTTTGTAAGGGAAGGAGGAGTTGCAGTTTCTTGTCAGCTCCAAAGGGACCTCTCTGGACTCCCTACCATCCTACCACCAATATTCAGTGCTCCCAGCAAAGCACACACAAATGGAAGTTGGCCTTCGTTGCTTGTCTGGGTGCTATGGAAAATAGAGTGCAGAAGATGCATGTGAATGTTGGAACTTTCATGTGCATCATGCTGCACCAGAGCATCTGGTAGCTCCAAATGATGTTCAGCTTTTCTGTGGAGGAGCCACACAAGTTTTAAATAAAAGACAAACGGTTAGGGAAGGACAGTGAAGGAGGAGGTCAACCAGGAGGTGGAGGAAAGGACAAATGAAAAGCTCCATTACATTTCTCTCTTCTGTCTATAGAGGAAGTAGATGTGTTCTGACTTCTCATTTCTTCTCCCCCAGGAAAAATCTAATACTGCTAGAGCTGAGCCATCCACTGTGGGTGCACTTCCAGATTAGGTTGTGTATACATGGCCATTACTTAGGAGTAGAACAGTTTTGTTTGTGGTTTATTTTGTATTTTGTTTTGTTTTTTATAATGGATAAAATGGTAGAGAATCTGGTAAGTAAAAAGGTTAGTTCAATTGGTAACAGTGGAAGTTGGGCCAAGGTGAAAAATAGGCCTTTCAAAATGCAACAAGTAGCAGTCCTCTAACAGGTTAAAAAAGGGAGGCTAGGTTCAAGTTAAAGTAGGTGCTCATCTAGAATTATTTCCATCTTTGGCCAGTTATTATTGAAGCATTAAAGAGAGACAGCAGGGATGAACTGTTAAGAGTGTAGGCTCTGTAGCTACCTACCAGACCAACAGGTAGCAGCCAAACCCTGATCAGATGTTTTTGAGAATGTATGCATACCATTAACTCCAGTACTTGAACAACAAAGTGAAATTGCAATTCTAGCATCTAATTCCTTTAAAATCTAGAAGACAGCTTTTCTTCTCCAGGGAGATGACTGGAGTGAAAATAAGAATTGCAAATATTACTTCAGAAGAAACATGTAAAACAATGCAAAAGAGTGTGCAGTCTTCAAAGCAGTACATACTGCAACTCATTCTTTCTTCTTTCACCTGAATGTACAGCTCAGAAACAAAGCTGGACAGTCTTTGATTAAACCACCGAGACTAGTGTTCGTAATTGTCAGTCCTTTGAGGTGTAAATGCTGCACTGCAGAAGCTCATAGGTTTGGTTTGCTTATTATAATAGCAGTGAGAGGAGAAACCACTTACCTCACTGTAGTTCATCCAGGCAAAGCAGCACAATACTGATCAATGGTAACATGTAACATTTTACAACTGCCAGAGAAAAGATTGAGCTGAAGGGCAAAAGACCTTCTAAAGGGCCATAACAGGACTGTGGGGTATCTGCAATCCACTGCTTATATTCAAAATTCAGTACAAATACGGCCCTGTGAGGAAGTATTTGCTATCATGAAAAACAGAACTGTAAGAAAGTGGGTTGAGGGGAAGCCACATTTTTGTTAGGCTTAGATTTGTAAATTGGTTGTCAGAAAGTCACAATCCTAATACAGCATTTACATGAGGTCAAATAAGCTGATAAACAGTTAAAGACTAACTCAGCTGTGGGGTACGAAGTGGCAAGGATGGAAAAAAGTTGTTTTGTTTTTTTTTCCAGAAAGTATCCATGATAAATAAATGAATCTCTCCAGTGACAATTCAATATTCCTTTTTCAAATTTTTATTACTTTTCCTAGACTTTGCTGGTTTGTTCTGGTTCCCCCCCCCCCCAAGCACCAGATTAGTTAAAATTATATTTTAATTATTTTTAATGGAACACTAATTCTTTTGCAGAAGTGCAAACCCCCCTGTGGATTCTTTTCGATTTAAAGGAAGCTTCTGTTGTCATAGCTTGCACTTAAAATTCATATAAAGGAAAATCTATCAGTTTGATTTCTAGAAATACTCATTCCAGTAGCTGAAATGATTCTGCTATATTTTTTTCATCAACTAGCTCAGGAGTTTTCATGTTTTAGAAGATTTTCATCTCCTCTGTGTTTACAGTGTATACTGTAAGTGCACTTGAGCCTTTTCAAGTACATCAAAGCTTCAAAATAAATGGATGTTTACAACCAAAGCCTTCCTCTTAAAGACAGAAGAAGTGTATTTGACTGATACTCTTGATTTCATTCGTTCAGACTTCTACAGTGGTTTCTAGTGCAACTACTTTTTTAGCCTTGCTCTCGTGCTCGTTCTGGTGACTAATTCACTTTATACACAGTTCCTTACCTGAATTAGCAAATGTTCTTCCTCAAGTGCACCCGACCTTTGTGTTGGAATCATGCTGAAAAAAATATTCTGTTCCAATAGGGAAAGCTAATTTATTTTGAAGTAGTGGGCTAATTTTTTTTCTCTGTTATATCTTTGATAAATACTACTGTTTCTCTTCAGTTATACTAGGGAGTATAAAGAGCCTCACTGGCTCTGGTTAAAAACTACAAAAAGTGGAAAACCTCACTTTTCAACAGATTTCTCATGCCATTCTCTGTTAAACTAGCTCCATTGCTGACGTGTGGGCACAGCATGTGAACTCAGCACTACAGCAGATGGGAAAATGCATGGTTTGTGCTCTATATATTAAGTTGAAGGGTGCAATAAATTCCTCTAGCCTGCAGATTAACGTTAGAAGTGGCAAGCAACCATTGAGGATTCTTTAATATCTCACTGATGGTGCTTAACCATTTCAGTTCCGTGCTAAGCTGTAGCAGCTATTCAGGATACAGAGAGGGGTTAGCCCTTTGAAAGGGGCATAAACAGAATTCTGGACCCATTTTTGCTGGGCCCAACTTAAATGCTAGTTCAATGTCTCCTAAGAATTGCATGTTATTTTAGTCTTCTCTCTTTCCCCTTCACACAGCTCTTCTGTGTGATCCCATCTCTCCCTCAGCTCTTATCACTGCAATTCTAGGCAAAGAAATAGCCAGCTCCCCAGCTGCTGGCTCTAGCTCAGGCATGAAAGAGCAAGAACTGACAGTGATGACTGGGTGATGACTGGGTGCAAGTGCAAACCCCTCTGGGCATGACTTTGCTGAGCTGAGAGTCTACCAACAAAGGACTAAAGGTAAATGGTTCCTGCTGGACATATGTAAAAGCACTTTATTTTCCTCCTTGAACCTTCTGTGACTCAGAGTGAAACCCTGACGTACGTATACAACTCTTCCAACTGCATGAACTGAAGGAATTTGGTATTTCACAAGAGTTCGCAGTATTGTAGAGAAATGGACTATAAATGAGTGTAGTGAATTGTTATGCATACATTTTAAATGTAATACAAACTGCTTTTGCCTCATTAGCATGTCTTAACAATGGAGTCATGACTTTTCCAAGAAAAAAAGAAGATATGATTCAGCTGACCCAGGAAATAAGCTTTTATAGTAAAATGGAAGAACAAGGCTGTATGTCACAATACTATGTTATATGATTATATCAGTTTAGTATAGTAAGTGTGGTTTGCTTTTATCTTTTGAAGGTAGCTATCTAGTGATTTAATACTCTTATTTGTCAGTTTATGAACATATATTTCCAACACAGACGCTAGATTAAATCTTAAAAAATGATAATGTGGAGTTCGACTTCCTTAGTTACTGCTTGATAAAATACAAGTAAATACATTGCTTAAAGTATGCAGTAGAAAAATATATAGGCAAAAGACTTCAGATATTGTGGTGGTACTGTTTGCAAAGAATATTAGCATTTACTGATCATTCCTATCATTGCGGCTGTTATTTTATATTAACAATTCTTTAATTATGTGAATGTCAGAATGGTATATTCACAAAAAGTAAAATAACTATATATATCACTTAGTGGTTTAACATGTCTAGAACCTTTTTTAAAGAAACCATGACAGACATCTTTCATTCAGTAGTCTGCCACAACAGGAAATTACTTCCTTTAATACGCAATGAAATAAATATAGGTCAGATGGTTTGTCTGCATTTACTTTGCACAGTTCTACCAGTAAAACAGGATGTTTTCTATTAACATTGCTGCAGGTTTCCTGGTAACAATAGCACCAAAAAAAAGACCAGATTTTGTCTAAGTGAAATTCACTCCTCCTGCCTAAAGCCCTATGCCTAGCATCTGCAAGGAAAAAAGCTGTAGTAAGATGTGGAAGCTGCTAAATTTATGTGTAAGCACCAGGCTGCAATCCATACAAGCTTACAGGAGTTAGGTACTCGGCTTCCTCTGAAATTTAAAGGAGGTGAGCACCTTTGTTGTTAAAGCTTTTTTGAATATTCCAGCCATGTAAGATGTAACAGCCTCCCATTGTTTGCTCAGGGACAGTATGTGTATGTATATGAATATTGCCTTGGGTATTCAAAATCTGTGCAGGTGAAAAGAAGATCATAGAGCATGCAGCTTTTCAGCTGTGAAGAAACAGCAGCCTTGCTGAGCCATACTTCTTAAGAAAGGCTACTGGACCTTCGTGTAGTCTACACTTGACTGTCTTTACTCTTGAATGATCTTCAGCTCGTCCAGAAAGACAAGGGTCTGTGAATTAATTGTCGGCGAACTTTGAACCATGGGGGGTTCAAGTGAAAGAATGGGCTTCAAGTCAGACACATGTGACTGGATGTTCCACCTAACTGGAATGCTGTTTGTGTTGAGGTATGTTTTCTTTGGCTATTTTTTCCTGAAATGTGCAATTACAAAAAATAAAATATTTACATCATTACAAATGAAATTTCAGTGTCAGCTTTTTCTGTCATAAAATGGAATATTCCTATGTGCAACAGGTGAATTATTTTCCTTAGGGATCTGATACAAAACTGTTTTCTATACAGAGAACAATAAACTGATTACTACAGCTGTATACTTTCTGATCAAGAAGTTTCCCTGTCTTCAGTGGTGATGCTTGTCCCATAGCTCCTATATCAGCTGTGTGCCAGGCTTCACAGTAGTTGCTAACCAGTCGGATCCCATTTGTAGTTGAACCATGCCATATTACTTTTTGAGGCCTGAAAAGTAAAGTTAAGAAGTTATTTCCTGAAAAAAATATTTTTTTCTTCATTTAATTGCACAGCTACATGTGTGGTGGCCTGTATTTCTGCTTGCCTCCTTAGGGAAAGATTAAAGTAGAAAAGAGAGGAAGTAAAGGAGGACGCAACCTGATATCCCATTCATAGGCTATTGGAATTTGAAAAGAAAGATGGCATAATTTCTAGTACCCTGAAATATTGCTACTTGTACTACCTGGTAAAAATAAATGTCATGCAAGTCTTATAAATGGTGATGTAAACTCACCAAGATGAATCAGTCATCACGTTCTTCCCATCAAAGGAGTATATTGGAACATGAATGTTGAATTGTCCACCATTTCCATTAAATATAGAATTCCAGTTACTGAAAAGTGTTTCTCCCTGTTAAAATTCAAAGCCACTTTTACAAATAAAACAAATCCAAAATCCACATCATACCTGATTCTTAAAGACTTATCTATACATCTAAAAGCTTATCTGCATTTAAGGACACCTACGATTCCAGTTTTCGCATCAGTTTCTGCATGATGCTCCTGAACAAACTTGTCTGATATATCATCTCTATGCTAATAGTTCTCTGATTCACACCTTTGCCTCACAGCTGCATCTCAGTTATATTGTCACTTCAAATATTCAGCTTGATCATCTACATTTCCACTATCCTTTTCCTCTTCAACTGACTAAAGAGTTCTTTGAACAATTTAGAACTAGCTATAGCCAAAATATACAGATAATTTGTGTTGGAAATTCTGTTGAGGTCATAATTTTGTGAAAATTGTGGCATTTGTTGCAAATAATCAGGGCAAAAGCTTCACATCAAGCTACCTCTCAAATTGCTTTTGATTTTTTTCCAGTCAAAGTTGAAACAATAGTGTATTTACAGATTTGTCTCCAAGGGTCTGTATTTGCATGCACTTCAGAGTAGCATCTGTTCAGCATGTTCTAAGCATCACGTATTATTCCTTTAGGTTTCTTTGGCCATTTGTTCTGGGAGCCAGCCAATGCTACGGAGACATGGTTTGTTTTTATCAGTTTTAGAGTGTGGCTGTTTATGTGAAACCACAAAATGACTCATGCTCTAGACTCTCTGTTCCACTGGGGTAAGTCCAGCATCACTCCTAGGCAGACTTTGCCTTTTTCTTGAGAAATGAGAAAAATGGGCATTTTAGCCTGCTATACTGTGTAATCATACTAGAAGGTAGAACATACATGGTTTTGAGAAATGAGAATGTACTTTCCCTGCTGATATAAAAAACATCCAGAAAGCTGAACATCATAGTGTTGCTTTGTCAGAGCTCTGCTCATAGTAGACTATCTCATAACTTTATTTCTACCGTTAGCGTCAGGATATTGGAAAAATCAACCGTTGAAAATGCAACTTTATCACTATTTTTTTGGTTTTTGAACTTGACTGTGAAAGATGAAGCAAAGCTGCTGCTTTATAAAATGCAGTTTGGGTTGAAACTTTCTGCTTTTGCCATTTTCCAAGATTTTGGAGCAACTACAGCTTGTCCTAATAAAACAAATATTACGTACTCGTTTTTACCTTAAGATTGACTACTGGTAAATGATATCGGTCGGTTTTTCTGACAACTGTGGCCAGATCTTGCAAATGCGATGAGAGGAAGGCTCTATAGGTAGATGTCAAACCTGCTAGTTGGGCCTGTTGAAAACACTGAAAATCTGCTCGGATGTCACCAGAAAATGGCAAGTTTAAAGCCACCAGATGCAGCTGGAGGGGGGAAAAAAAAAAAGTCACCAATTTTATGGTGGTTTTTTTTATTTTTTTTGAGTTAGTAGCACAAGGAAGACATGTATTGGAAACAAATTAGACCTCCCCTCTTCCTGCCAGAACAAGAACTGCTACCTTCCATACCAGGTGTGACAGTTATTTGCTGCCATAACATTACATTTCTTAAAGCTGAGACCCACAGCAGAAATACTTCGAAATTTATCTGAAGAGAAGGCTCTGGAGAGATCTTACAGCAGCCTTCCAGTAGCTAAAGGAGGCCTACAAAATGCTGGAGTGACTTCTTATGAGGACATGTAGTGACAGGACAAGGGGGAATGGCTTTAAGCTGAAAGAGGGGAGATTTAGATGAGATCTGAGGAAGAAGTTCTTCCCTGTGAGGGTGGTGAGGCCCTGGCACAGTTTGCCCAGAGAAGCTGTGGCTGCCCCATCCCTGGCAGTGTTCAAAGTCAGGTTGGACACAGGGGCTTGGAGCAACCTGGTCTAGTGGAAGGTGTCCCTGCCTGTGGCAGGGGGATTGGAACTAGATGGTCTTTAAGGTCCCTTCCAACCCAACCCATTCTGTGATTCTATGAAAATTAATGAAACTGTGAAGATTATATACTTCTAAAAAATAAAATTATTTTAATAGCAGCTAATATTTTTAAGTAGAAGTCTTGGAGTAATCACACAAACAAAATCTCAAATCCTACAAGTATGAAGTAAGTAGTAAGAAGTGATCATACACTATTTAAAAATTCAGTGTTAACAAATACAAGTAGCATGCTTGAATCAAACAGTGTAGATGCAAGAACTAACCCACACTTTTTTTTAATCCACAAAACCCAACTTAGTTTATTGTTTGTTTGTGAGGTTTTGTTTGTTTTTTGTCTTAGATGTAACTCAGTTACTTTGCTTTATTTGTCTAACTATTTTTAAGTATTGAAAATGAATGCTTTAGTTCTAAATTGTCTACCTAAACCAAAGAGCACGATGAAGATAGAAAATATTATAATTATTTTTTTAAGTATTTGAGTGCAACACTATTATTAACTTAAAAATTACTGTTTGTTGTAGGTTCTATCAGTAAGTAAAGAGGTATTACTAACTCAGAATCAGCATTTTTTTTAATTTGAGATGGGAAAGGGGCTAGGATGATGAAAACAGATTTGGAGGAAATAATTTAAAATTGTCTCTGAGATTTCTAAACCAGTTAAAGAAGCATAATTGTAAATTTCTGAAGTGATATAATTAATATTGTATTCACATGAATAAATGTGAATATGTATTTA